TCTTATTTGAGAATAGCAGGATCTGAGCCCATGGAGAATGAAGTGTGACGTTGGTCAGCTCCCACCAGGGAAGTTCCTTGATGATTATCTGAAACACTTAAGCATGTGTGCATGTCCCCCTGGTCACCATGAATCAGCGTTCCACCACAGACCCCTATAAAACCCTTTGGCAAACCTGGGAGAGGCAGAGATGGTCTTTGAGACCTAAGCCCCCCATCTCCCCAGGCTGCCAGCTTCCTGATTAAAGGCCACCCTTTCTTACGCCAACCCTTGTCTCTTGATTCTTGGTTGAGTGGTGAGCGAACAGACCTTTGGGGTTTCAGTAACAAGGTTCAAAGACAAAAGAAATTTTGCACGTGTAATTAAGGTTATGGATTTTAAAATAGGGAAGGAGATTGTGATATTCTGAAAAACAGTATATATTTGGTCTTCGTCCATGTTCCTGTCCCTTTTCTGACGCACAAATCCTAGAGTTCTTAGAATCTCCAGAGTGTCTCTCTCTCTCTTTTTTTTTTTTTTTGGTCCTTTTTGAGACCGGCCGCACCGCGCTCAGCCAGTGAGCGCTGTGAGCACACCGGTCATCCCTATATAGGATCCGAACCCGCGGCGGGAGCGCTGCTGTGCTCCCAGCGCTGCACTCTCCCGAGTGCGCCACAGGCTCGGCCCAGTGTCTCTTTTTTAATTCTAATGAGTCGGCTGATGGTTGGCAGCCCCCAGGTAGTTTCAGGATGGGGGCTGGTAGAAAGGCCAAAGCAGTCCCAACCCCCAATGTCCGGGGAGGGGAGAGGGACTGAATGTTAAGTTGATCCCTAATGGCCAGTGATTAATCAATCAATCATGCCTATATGATAGAGCTCCATAAAAACTCAAAAGGACTGTGTTTGGATGAGCTTCTGGAGAGCCAAACACGTGTAGTTTCCTGAAGGGGGGTGCTCCTGGGGAGGCCACGGAAGCTCCATGAGCCTTCCCCCCACACCTTGCCCCAGGCATCTCTTCATCTGTATCCCTTGTAATATCGTTTATAATAAACTGGTAAACCTAAGTATGTGTTTCCCTGAGTTCCGTAAGCTGTGCTAGCAAACAAATCTGAAGAAGGGGTCACAGGAACCCCAATTTACAGCTGGTCGGTCAGAAGTTCCTAAGGCCTGAACTTGCAACTGACATCTGAAGTGGGGGCAGCCTTGGGGACTGAGCCCTTCACTTGTGGGATCTCACCCTATCTGCAGTTGACAGTGTTGGAATTGATCTGCTGCAGAATTGCTTATTTGCTGGTGTGTGGGGAAATCCTTACCCATTTGGTCACAGAAGTCTGTTGTCTGTGTTGATGTCGTCTGTGGTGAGACAGCAGGGAAAGCAGAGTGTGTGTTTCCTGCACTCGGAGTTTGTCCTACATTATCTGGGTAGGCCTCAGAAGCAGAGAAACACTTGCTCTGGCTGGAAGCAGAAGAGAGAGACAGCTGGAGGGGAAGCCAGAGAGCTTCCGAGGGTGAGGATTCCACCTGCCACTGCTGCTCTGAGACTCAGGGCCCACGTGCAAGGACCAGACAAGGCCTCTGGTTGCTAGGGGTGGCCCCTGGCTGATAGCCAGCAAGAAAATGGGACTTCAGTCCTACAACTGCTAGGAACCAGATTCTGCCAATGACCTGAATGAACTGGGATGCAGATTCATTCCCAGAGCCTCCAGAAAGGACCCCTGCTCAGCAGGTGTTGGGCCATCCCAACGCCCCTCAGACCTGCTAGACCAAAGCCAGAGAGGGGGATGGGGCCATGCTTGGACCCACCAGAGCCCCCCTCCAAAGCCTGAGGAACATGAAGTGGCAGGACAGCAGTCTGAGTGGCTGCCCCACTGAGGGGATGGAGAGGGGCACGAGGGAGCCTGCTGGGGCGCTGACTGGTGGCCACACGGATGTTGGATGTGCGTGTGAGAGCTTGAATGAGTGAATGAATGAATGAAGTTGCTGTAGTGACAGAGTGTCATACTGGGAGGCACTGGACAGGTGCCCCTCCCTCCGCTGCTATTAGCTAGAGTGTAACTTGAGCATACTGGGGGCACACTCGGTGCTGCTTCCTTCATGAAGCCCCTTGGACGATGCTTACCTGCCTGCGGGGCTGTCGCTCCAGGGCTGCAACCGCCTGCCTCCTGCGTGCCGGGCACCCTGCAGGGCAAGTGGCTCCTCCCAACAGACCTGCAGCTGCGGTGGTGGGTGCTGCTGTCCTCTCCATTCAAAGGATGGAGCGGTGAGACTGTCACAGCCTCAGGAGCCTGTTCACCTGCAGGCTACCCCCAGGCAGACGCCCTTGGAGGCTCGGGGAGCAACAGAGCTCATCTGTGCTTGGAGCGGTGAGACTGTCACAGCCTCAGGAGCCTGTTCACCTGCAGGCTACCCCCAGGCAGAGGCCCTTGGAGGCTCGGGGAGCAACAGAGCTCATCTGTGCTGGGGCCTGCAGGCAGCACGGGGCGGAGGGTGAGCAGAGACCCTCGGGGTCCCTGGGCCACGGTGAGGACAGACCAAAGCCAAGTGTGCTGGTACAAGGCCACTGCCTGCAAGAGATGGGGGGGCGGCTGGAGGAAGGGACCCTTGGGGGCTGGAGAGTCTTCCCAGCCTGTGATGGCAGTGGTTTGAGTCAGGTGGAGACCATGGAATTGGGGACACTCAGGAGGGAAAAGCTGCAGCCCCATTGGCTGTTTGCACGTGGAAGGTGAGGGCCAGCAACAGTGACCCGGGCAGCTCGGGGGGCCAGGTGGGGCGGGCTGGCACTGGCTCTTACCCTGGCATGGGGAGACCAATTGGCGTGGGGAGAGGAGGTGAGGAAGGAGGCAGCCTGGACATGTTGGGTTGTGGTGACTGTTTGAGGGAGATGTGTCCCCATGGGAACATGCAGAGCTCGACTCGGGTGGCTAGCAGTGATGCTTCAACATCACTGGACAAATGGGTGCCTGGACAAATGAGTGACTCCCCAGCAGGGCCAGAGCGCCACCCGAGCCTGCTGCACGAGGCCGTGCCTGCCCTCGCAGCGCCCATGTGTGCAGTGTGTGGCACAGCTAACCACGGGGCAAGGAGGAAGGGCACGGGTGCGAGAGGGCCTGGGAGCCTGAGCGGGGCCTCCCAGAGCCCAGGGGTCAGCACCAGGCCTGGGGCATAGGTGGGGTTCTCAGCCAGACTGGGCAGCACAACCCCGGCTGCCTCAGTGGGACCAGCACAGACACCAGGCAGAGGGAGCCAGAGAGACTCCTGACATCTGTGTGCCTGTCCGTGCATCTGTGCTGGTCCCACAGCTGGCCTTGCTGCCACCGCTCTTGTTTTGGGCAGGACAAAGGGCCCGGTGGGCAGGAAGATAAGAACTGCAAATAGAAGAGCATAAATGGAATGGAAGGGAGGAGAACGCACATGGCCCTTTGTAAATTGATCCCAGGACACAGTGCAAACAGTGGTCGGTCGGGCGAGTGACCCTGAGAGTGGCACGGAGCGGTTCTCGGTGCAGGGCAGAGTGGAGCAAGCCCGCCCCTTTCCAAGCGCAGCAGCAGCAGCGCAGGGGCAGGGCTGGGTCCTTGGCGACTGACCCTGGGAGGTCACAGCCACCCAGTCCCAGTGGCAGAACCAGAACCCAAAGCTGGGCTGAGTCCTCAACCCCTGTGGCCACCTCCCACCACAACATGTACCTTGCGAGGTTGTCACTTGTCCACCCACATGAGCCACCTGCTTTTTGCAGCACTAGATGTCCATGGGTGCCAAGGGCAGGGTGGGGACAGGGAAAGGGATGTTAACAAACCAAAACGAGTGTGGTGGTGAAAGAGACACCTGCAAAAAGCATCTGAACAGGAGTGAAGGGGTTGACGTTGCCACCTGCTCCTTCCTCTCAGGCTCCAGAGACCTCTCCTGCCATCCTGTGCATCACCCTCCCCAAGGTGGAGGGAGGGCAAAATCCCTTCACCCGAATTATTCACTGAGGCCCGACTGTGTGCCAGCACCCTTCTAGGCATGGGGGTGACATCAGTGTGCAAGAGGGACAAACAACCCTGTCCCAAGGGCGCCTACATTCTAGCGGGGCAGGGGGAACAACAGCCAGTGAACAGAGCCTGGGACTGAGTGGGAGGAGAAGGCACTAAATGTTCCCAGAAAGGAAAAACAGAGCAGGTTTGGGAGGTCAGAAGTGCCCAGGGGAGGGTCGCCATTTTTAAAAGGGACATCAGGGCCACTACATGATTGTAGTCACCTGGCCTTGAGGATGCCCAGGCCAGTGTGGGCACAGTGGAGTTGGCCAGGGAGAGGTAGGAAGCAGGAGAGCTGGTCCTGCAGGGTTTGAGGCCACAGACAGGACCTCAGAGCATGCTCTGAATGGGGCCCCTGGAGGGTTTTGGAGTTGGCCAGGGAGAGGTAGGAAGCAGGAGAGCTGGTCCTGCAGGGTTTGAGGCCACAGCCAGGACCTCAGAGCATGCTCTGAATGGGGCCCCTGGAGGGTTTTGGAAGTGACGTGCCTGACCCTCTGGCTTGCAGTGAGAGCTTGGTGGTGTGCGAGCTATGGCCGGACTCTGGATGCCCTCCAAAGGGGGTGCCCACAGGACTTCCTGACAGTGATCTGGGTGTGGGGAGGTCCACATCTGACCACAGATCTGCAGCCTGAGCATCTAGAAGGGCAAGGTGGGCGAGGGTGGGTGCAGCAGGTGTGTAGCCAGGGTCGGTCTGCAGTGTGTCTGTGTGTCCCAGCTGTGTGAGCCAGGAGGGGGAGTCTAGTACTGGGGCTGAGGTCCTGGTGGGAGGGGCGCCTGGGCTGGAGCTTCCTCCCTCTGGCTCTGCTGCCCCAGTTGAGGGACCTCAGTTGCTCCAGGAGCTGGAGGCCTGGCCTCTGCTGTCTCCTTCCAGGAGCACCTGCGATCACTGCTGGGTTAAAGCTCACAGGGAAGCCCCTCTCCGGGCAGCACCCACATCCCTATTTACATCTATTTACCTACATTCCCAACAGCTCTTTGAGGTGATTAAAAACACTGCATTGTAAGGGCTGGCCGGTTAGCTCAGCTGGTCAAAGCGTGGTGCTGATAACACCAAGGTCAAGGGTTTAGTCCCCTTACTGGCCAACTGCCAAATAAAGAAAGCTGCAATGTAAAAGAGAATTTGTTCCTGGGAAAGGCCACAGAAGACAGAACCCCCGCCCCACCGTCTGCTCTCCCTTTGGCACACAGGCTCGGAAACATCATCCAGCCCCTACTGGCTTTGCTCTCAAGAACAAAAGTGCAATAAATGCCTCTGCAAAGCATCCTGACCTCACCCCTCAGCCCAGTCTTTGCAGGTTTCCACCAGGTCCTTGGATTGTCCTATAAACGTTTTCTTTTTTATTCAATAGATCCAAAATGTGTCTCATTAGACAAATATTAACTAACACCTTTAATCTATGAAGCACTCATGCAAAATAATTACAAAACAAAATAAAACATCAAGGCCCAACAATAAACAAATCAAGAACACAAACTAAATCCACAGCACACACACACTCCTGCACACACTCCTGGGGAATGAACCTGTTAGGGGAATTGTGCGGCTGCCAGCCCTGCACGGCACAGCACGTAGCCCAGCTTCCTCTCCTGGGGATGCCGGGCCCTGAGAATGTTGTTTGGGAATTTTAGAAAGCTGTCCTACAGAGGCCTGGGGTGTGAGGAAGTCCAATGATGGGGGAAAGCACCCTTAGAGTTATAGGGAGCAATCTAGGGCAGAGTCTCCCTCTGTAAAATGGGAATATAACCTGCTTGGAGAGTTGCTGGGAGAGGGAAGAACAGGGCAATGGGCTGAGTCCGGACCCTGGCTTGGAGCAGGGCTAACCCAGTGTGGGAATTTCCTGGAGACACTTATGAATGGACTGTGTTGCCATCACCACCCAAATTTAAACATTAAAGCCCTAACACTCAATGTGACCGTTATTTGGAGATGGGCCTTTAAGGAGGTAATTCAGGTTTAACGAGGTCATGAGGGTGCAGCCCTAGTCAAATAGGCCTGGTGTTCTTGTAGGAAGAGACACCAGAGTTCTCTCTTCCCCTCTTGCACACACATGGAGGAATGGCCCTGTGAGAGATGACTGTCTCCAAGCCAAGAAGAAAAGCCTCAGCAGAAACCAACCCTGCCGGCACCGTACTCTTGGGCTTCCAGCTTCTAGGACTGTGAGAAAATAAATGTCTGTTGTTTAAGCCGCCCAGTCTGTGGTGTCTTGTTACAGCAGCCTCCTTTCCCAGAGATTGACCTGCACACCCTCGTTTTCAACAAGCACACCCCACTTTGCTACCGTGCTATGAACAACATCCAGTTAATGACAACTGCACATCAGGACCCAAACACGCATAGAAAACAGATCCACAGGGAATTACATCATAATTCAACTGTACATCAGCGTTACACCATAAGACCTGATTTACAATGATTTATTACAAAAGCTTTTGTAAAAACTGTAGGCAACGTGATCTGCTGCAACTGTTTATTATACTTAGAAGTCTACTTAGCTTTTAAGAAAGATTCACAAAATATTCATTTGAAACCACATTTTTGGTTCATCAGATTTCAAATATATTTTACTGTTCTTTTTTTTTTTTTTTTTTTTTTAAAAGATGACCGGTAAGGGGATCTTACCCCTTGACTTGGTGTTGTCAGCCCCACGCTCAGCCAGTGAGCGAACCGGCCATCCCTATGTGGGATCCGAACCCGGGGCCTTGGTGTTATCAGCACCGCACTCTCCCGAGTGAGCCACGGGCCGGCCCTATATTTTACTGTTCTTTTTTTTTTTTTTTAAAAGATGACCGGTAAGGGGATCTTACCCCTTGACTTGGTGTTGTCAGCCCCACGCTCAGCCAGTGAGCGAACCGGCCATCCCTATGTGGGATCCGAACCCGGGGCCTTGGTGTTATCAGCACCGCACTCTCCCGAGTGAGCCACGGGCCGGCCCTATATTTTACTGTTCTGAACAATATATTTTAATGCTGTCTAAAACACAGCCAAATTATTTTTCTTTATTCATTTATACACATTCTATAATTTTTTGAAAACTAAGATTAAGATAAAAAATATTAACAAAACTACCCAATTACAATTACTATTTTCTCATACACTGAACTGTTTTCTGTAGCTGTATCTTCTTACCTTATTCTATTTTAATTCTACATACCATATTGATTTATAAACGCACTTAGGGAGTTCTCATCTTACATTTCTCATAAATTCAAACAGCCACACCTTGTCAAAAAGATAAAAATCATTCCCTTGGCAATGTGGAAGCTTAGGCTTGTTAAAAGCACTCACTGAAAAATATTTTTAATTTTACAGATCATACAAAATAATCAAGTTACAAACGGACAGATGACTTTAAACATTGTTTTGAAATCACCTTACTGCGTGGAAATGTAAATGAAGCAATCTGTCAAATTAAACACTAGGCATTTTTGGCCTTTTGTTTTCATTCTTTGCTCCCTTTTTAATGAAATGTGTGTGCTGTGAAAGTCCTCCTCCAGGCGCATCTAGCCTGAGCTGGTTCTGGTAGCCCTTGGCCGAGAAGCCACGAGGAGACCGCCCTGCTCCCCCACATGAAGGCTCTCAGCCACAGAGAGGTGGGAGGAGCCGGTGTCTCCAGGCCCCAGCTGTTGAAACTAAAGATTCCAAGAAAATAAAGCAAGCACATGCGTGGGTATGCTCAAAGGAGGGCACGCGCAAGAGTAACGTGAAACAGAAATGACAGTGAAGCTTCTACTACATCAAAGACAACAATTTCTCAAAAACAATATTAAAAAACAGAAATGTATATATACCATGTGAAAAAGTAGCAAAACAATCTGCAAAATCGTCTGGTCTTCATGGCAGCCTGTGATGGTCACTGATTCATCTAAAGAAAAACTTCTCCAGGAAACGTACATCATGATGTCAATATTAAGAACCATAGCGATCCTAAAAAGAGAACCAAAGTGAAAGTTCACAAATACTCAGCATCAACCCCTCCTTCACGCACACTGCATGGTCAGCATTACCGAAACCAACATTGCGATGAACACGGGCACCCAGCACCTGGCATCTGACACATTGCTGCCTCCCACGGATGCGGATAACTGGGAACAGGCTCCACTGCAGCTTCCCGAGGCTGAGGACACTGCGTGGGCTCTGGAAACCTACTCAGATTCACATCCTGCCCCCAGCACCCATGGCCTCAGCAGCTCCCCGGGCTGTGGTAAGGACTGGGCAGGGAGCAAAGTCTCTGGTGCACAGAGGTGGGAGGCCAAAGGCCTCTGGGAAGAAAGTGCAATGGGGAGGACAGAGGAAAACATTTGGACTCTGAAACGCTGACATTTTAGTTTAGCTGTTGATCTTGCAGAACTACCTTAACCTCTCTGTGCCTGTTTCTTCACCTGTAGAATGTGGATATGGAAGGGAGAAATCTATAAAACAGGGCTGATCATCTATAAAATACGGATGTCACCTACTTGGAAGGACTGATGTGGGCTCAGCTGACCTAAGGGACATGGAAGAGCTCTGAATTCTAACTAAAGGGCCAAGAAAAAGGAAAATCGTGTTAACAGCAGTGAAAACAGCGATACCCACAGTCTCGGGCTGAAGGGAATTCTCCACAGTAGGCAAGCGTCTCCACACCCTCCAACCTGGAGCCAGGGCAGTGTCTGCCTGGGGACCAGGAACCTCCTTTATTTATCTGTTTTTTGTTTTTTGCATTTTTTGGCAGCTGGCTGGTATGGGGATCTGAACCCGTGGCTTTGGTGTTAGAGGGCTGTGCTCCAACCAACTGAGCTCACTGGCCAGCCCTGGAACCTCCTTTAGAGGCAACAGAGTCCGTGCTGATCAGGTCCCACTCCCTGAGCCATGCTTCACATTAATAATAGAATCCTTCTAAAATAACTTGACGTAAACAAGAAGGTTCAAGAAATAAGCCTTTCATATAATCAGAGATGGCCTTATTGTTATATACAAGTATATATCCATCCTTGCTTATTTAAAAGATTGAAATACAATCTAAATATCCAACTTGGGGAATAGTTAAATAAATTGTATGTATTTTCACTCAAGAGGATGTGGCTTCTGAAGAATTTTTAATTACATGGAAATGTTCATAACACAGAGAAAAGCAGGATATAAAACCATATACACAATATAATATATTTTTAATTTTAAAAAAGATATGCATAGAAAGACATGCATAGAGGGCCGGCCCGTGGCTCACTCGGGAGAGTGTGGTGCTGATAACACCAAGGGCACGGGTTCGGATCCTATATAGGGATGGCTGGTTCGCTCACTGGCTGAGCGTGGTGCTGACAAGACCAAGTCAAGGGTTAAGATCCCCGTACCGGTCATCTTTAAGAAAAAAAAAAAAAAAAAGAAAGACATGCATAGAGGGCCGGCCCGTGGCTCACTCGGGAGAGTGTGGTGCTGATAACACCAAGGGCACGGGTTCGGATCCTATATAGGGATGGCTGGTTCGCTCACTGGCTGAGCGTGGTGCTGACAAGACCAAGTCAAGGGTTAAGATCCCCTTACCGGTCATCTTTAAAAAAAAAAAAAAAAAAAAAAGAAAGACATGCATAGAAATCTAGAACTTTCATAAAATATACCAAAATATTTACAGAAGTTATCCCTCTGAGGTGAGATTATGAATAATTTTATTTTCTTAATATTTCTCTGTTCTAATCTAGGAAAAAACTGGATAATGATCATGACAATTCCTGTAACAATTCCCCTAGGGTCACAAATTTGAAAATTTTAAACAAATATAGAATTATAATTTCTGGTTTTCATAATGTCCTGGGTTATACTGTAGCAAACATATAAATCACTAATACACAATCTAATTTTCCAGCAATTGAAGAGTGGCCGAAATCTCATTTTCAAAACCAGGAACCCACCATTGTCTCAGTGAGTGCTGCCCTGTTTCACTGACCTGAATTGAAGTCATGACTCCATTAGCAAAGACGGAGAGTTTTCCAGCAACGGACCTCACTCCCTGCTTAAACTGCGTCATGTCAGGGGCGCTGGGCAGCACGCTCGAGAGGTTGTAGTTCCCTGCATACACACAGCAGACACTGGCTCGTCACTGTACCAGGGCAAGGACACACACAGTGCCCAGGACACTCAATGACCTGGAGAGCACAGATCCCACCCTCCTGTTTCCTCATGAGCAGCAGCCATGGGTAAGGGAAAGGGACCCAGTGCGGTCTCAGGACTCAAGTTGAAGTGCCAGCCCCACCATGAACCAGCTGCAAGACCCCATGGGAGAGAAGATCTAGTATGGGGTCTTAACAGCATCATGGGTGCAAATCCTGACACTGCCACTTCTAAGCTGTGTGCCTCTAGAGAATTTACCTACCCTCCCTGGGCCCATTTCCCTGAGGTGCTTAACACAAACTTGGCAGGTAAGTACTCAGCAAATGGCAGACATCTATAGTTTTAGTCTGCTCAGCATTCCTTCCTCCTTTTTTAGTAAAAGCCCCCCTCCCTTACTCTAAGGACCACCTCTCACCTCTTCCCTGTCCATAGAGTGGGCACGTGACCCAGGCCTAACCAATCAGAGCCTTCCCTGGGATTCAGGTATACTCAGATGAGAAGAGCCATTTGCTTGCTGTGGCCAGGCTCCACTGCCAGTCTTCCCAGCACAGAAGCCCAGATTCTCACCTTCTTTGCTAAGGCTAGTGTTAGCTCAGTTTCTGTCACTTACATTTTGGTTGCCATGATATAAATATTATAATTATTGCTATCAACACAGATAAAGCACATCAGTGCTTAGATGGATCTGACACACTCCCAGGGTTGACAACTGGGGTTTCATAATGAACTTTTGTCACACAATTATAGTAAGATGCTAGAGTGACTTAGTGATGGTGAGCTGAATGCAAACCTGCAGGTCTCCAGGGGTAGCCACACCAGCTACCCTCTAGACCCCACACGTGACCTGCCTACACCAGATGCACCTTCTGCTATAGAAACAAGCAGCCAGGTCTCTTTCCAAGAAGAAAAGAGAACTGGCGAGCTAGCCTCCAGCACAGATACCACCTGGAAGAGATAGTGCTTTAACCCAGAGCACCATTCCCATGCCCGCCACACAGGGAGGGCCACAGATACGGGTTCTTCCCTCCTCCTCCCCACCAGCTGACTGTTTACAGTTCTAGAGGCCCTTGACTCCAGATAACAGGGCAGAAAGCTAGCACAGTCACAGGATTTAGGAGCTGTGTCTCTTCTGAGGGCTGTCAGGGCAGGCTGGAGGAGACGGACTGCTGCGTCGGATACAACCCAACGCGTTCAGTTACACAGTGGGCTCCAGGAAAGGACAGCTCCAGGAGCTTCCTCAGGAAGAGGGTCCTTGACCCATGAGCTAGGTCAGGGCCCCCATCTCTCAAGCATCTCTTCCCATCACATCCACAGTGTGCTTGGTACTGAGGACACCATTGCCAACCTGCTTCTCCAGAGCATACCGCCTACTGGGGAAGGCAGACAATTAACTGATAACATCACTAAAGGGTGACCATGTCATCTGGAGGGGACACAGAGTGAACTCAGGTGGGCCTCAGCCCCGGTGGTGAGACACAAGGGTGGCAGGAACATGCCAACGGGGCCTAACCAGGCTCCCAGGTGCGGGTGGTGGGGCTGTCTGGGTGAACGGCGGGGAGGAGCGTTCTGGGCTCAGGGGCCCAAGAGAGCCCATTGTGCTCTGGGCCCCACAGGCTCAACATAACTGGAGCGAGGTGCAAGTGGTCAGTGCTGCGAAATGAGGCTGGAAAGGCCACAGGAGCCATGGTCCTAAAGGCAGGAGAGGCAGATGGGGGAGCTGGACTCCAACCCAAGGGCAGGACCTTAAACAGGGATGACTGGGCTGTGTTTCCAAAGATCATCCCAGGAGGAGGGAGTAAAGGGCTGGGGCAGCTAAGACCGGAGGCAAGAGCGCCAGGCAGAGGTTGTGGCCACAGCACAGGCAGATGACGAGGGCCTGGCCACAGTGGGGGTCAGGGACTCGAGGATGCCAGGGGGAGATGCAGGTCGTGTGGGTGTGTGGTGTGCAGAGGGAGCGGAGGAGTCTAGGACGACTCACAGGCTCTTCAAAAATGAATTTTTAATGGAATATTACATACCAATTTCCCTGAAATGGACACAAACCAAGAGAAAAAGTATTTCCAAGGTTATAAGAACAATGAGTTTAATCATGAACAAAAAGAACTCCAATGGCCACTTCTCTGAGGCAGGCACAGCACACACTGACTCGCTGAGATGAATGAGACTCCAGTCCCAACCTCAGTGGCAATGCCACTGCACGGCTATGATGTCTGACAAATGTTTAGCAAATAACCAAACAAAATCACCTGACTGCAGACTGGGCACAGTGCTTTCGAGACCTGTGGGTCCCAGGGAGGCCACACTCCTGGACTCCAGGCCAGAAAAGGGAGGAAAGGAGAGAGTGGCCAAGAGACCTCCAGATGCAGAGGACAAATGCAAGCAACCTGCCACTGACCCCACACGTGCCCGTGGTGAATGAGAGCAGGCACCTAGAGACGAAGGCTCTGTGGCACCTCTGGCACTCCCAGGCAGACACGCTAGGATTGAAACAATCAGAGACTGTTATCTTGAAAGAAATACACAGAGGGGCAAGCTGGGTTCGGAGCTTCTTTCGTTCTAACATTGCTCTCACAAAGCTACCCCTGCTCTGGCATCTGGTGCCCTGAGTGGCTCCAAGTCCCACCCAAGGCAGTCCCATGTCCCCCAGCCGACAGTGCCCCATGAGAGTGACCCTGGGAATCACCATCATGTCAGGCTGGCTGTGGGCACTTACATGTGTTCTTGCTCTGTCCTTCAACTACCCTGAAAGGGAACGGCCCCGTGAGAAACATCACAGGGCTCCTGGGTTAAATCCCACCCTCAGAAAAGAAGTATCTCACCTCCCCAGAAGGTATTTCACATTTGGAAGTTTCACATTTTACTTCTTTCCCAAAAGTAATTATAAAGGTATATACTACGATCTACCTAATGACACTGATATTTCACACACGGGGAAACCTTCAAAAGCCCACAGAATAGTTTCTTAAAACCAGCTTTTGCTCTTTGCTGAAATGCGCTCTAAATAAGAAGTAAATATTTAATAAGAGTTGCCCAGTGTGCTCACATTTAGGGCGGTCATCACAGGCATCTTTTATATGAGCCCGATGGAAGGTGCAGAAGGAGGCGGTGGCCACAGGCTGGTCCATTTGCATTTGGAACGAAGGCTGGGGAGGGAGGACAGGCTCTGCCATGCGGTGGACTGGCCAGCATGGCATGGGGATCAGGCCTCTGGATAACCTGGCACCCTGGGTGCACCCTTGCAGTGACCATGCGTTGCCATGGACCAGTTTGTCTGGCACCCACATAGGGCCAAAAAAGTTAGTGGACCTTTGTTCTCGGAAAGGGAGCAGGAAGGTAAATACATGCCAGCCACAATTTTCCTTTAACAACTGGAAAGGCTGGTCTCATTTGATCTCCAAAAGCTTTTTTTTAAAACAAACAGTAATGCTTTAGAAACTTCCAGGAGTTTGCATTACAAAACACACATTCCCAGAAGTGATCTTCAACAACTTAGGTCTCTGGCTGGCCTGCCCGGCTGCATCGGGGCTCCTGAACCATGGGGGCAGCTGGCCGGGGCTGCCGGGAACCCTCCAAAGGAAGCTGGGTGCCTCTCTGCCAGGGCTGGTCACGAAAGGAAGTGGCTCTGACAAAAGGCCAAGAACCAAAAGTTCAGAGATGAGAACGCAAGCCTGTGGGCCACACCTTCCCCCCCCATCACTCAGCGCCATGACAGGTCCAGTCAGAAAGCAGCCGACCAAGGGCTGCAGGGCGGAAGGGTGGGCACTGGGTGCGCGGCCCACGCAGGGACAGCACCTGTGGGCGCAGCCCCACCGCCACCCTGCCCACCACAACCTTGCAGCAGCAGACGTGCTGGCCCTGGTCCTTCGCTCCTTGAAGGGCCACCCGCCTTTCTGCCCCCTGGCTGTCCACTCTGCCAGCTCACACCCTTGGCTCACTAGGCACTACCTGGATAGAATGCTCCTTCCCACTGCAGCACGACAATCTGGCAGCAGTGCCCACTTACACCCCAGGGCCACGGAGGGTCGCTAACATCCTCCAGACACCAACACAGAAGGTCTGTCCTATGACCTTCTCTGTTGAGGCTGTTTCCCTTTGGACCCAGAAAATACTTGTTCTCTAGGACTGTCCAGCCAAGCAGCCACCCAGGTCAGCCACCCCATGCAGAGCAACTCTGGGCCTTCCTTAGAGCCATTCCCAGCTCTTGCAGGGCTGGGAATGAGGGTGCAGAGGCTGCTAGGCCTGGAATGCCTGGCTCCTGAAATCCCCCTCCCCATGGCTCTCCTGTTGCTAAGTGGGCCCCTAAAATGACCTCAGGGGACACTGCCGTTTAGTGTTAACCACAGAGCCCATCCCTTGCACCTGCGGCCTGGCAGAGGCCCTTGTGAGGTACGGCTTTCCTGAGGCTCAGGCTACACAGGCAGAAGCAGTCTGGGTGGTCTGTGAGGGGCCCGTGCTCTGAGGCTCACTGCCTAGGCTCACAGGGTTTCCCATCCTAGCCCAGCCTCTGCCCCAGGAAAACCATACACATTCTCCGTGGGGTCTGACCCTGAAGAGGGACAGGAGAGATGGGCAGTTCCTCTCCCCATGCCCACTTCCAAAGCTGTGTTCCGTCCTCCCAGGAAGACTGCTGCTGGTGGGGTCACATGCTCCTACCTGCCTCTACCCACCCTTGGGGCCTGCGAGGCACCTGCCAGACACCGGATGGCACTTTACATACAGTATTTCATCTAAGGCTCATGACAAACTTGTGAGGTAGATATTGTCCACCCACTTTACAGAGGAGGAGACTGAGGCTGAGAGAGCCCTAACTTACTCAAGGTCTCAGCATCACACGGGGCCCAGGGTCATCCACCTCCAAGGCTACGCTGCATGCTTTCTGACACCACATTCATGTGTGCTGGAGCACACTCATCCATGACCACACTTCAGGAAGATGACTTGCCAGGTCACGTAGGGATGTTGATTTAATTTCATGACTTGATCCCTCACACGTGAAGCTAGAACAATAACTCTGATCTACCTGACTTACAGTGGAGATAAGAAACCAAATAGTGGGTGCTAAAATATCTTAGAAAAGGGAAAAGTCCCATCCAAATGAAATGTGTTCATGCTGTAGTCACGACAGGGACCAACTCTCAGGAGGGCCCCCATTACCTGGCGTCTGCTTATGCTCCTCATCAAACAGATCAGCCGAACTGATGGAGGAACTTGCCGAAAGCCTCTCCAGACGGGACCTGGTTTCATACTAGAGAAGGAAAGGAAAGGGACCACATAAGGCTCCGAATGTCACGAGCAATTTTGCAAAAAGAATCACCAAAAAGCTGTCATTTGAATGTATTTGTGCCCCTTGGCTGTCTCTCTCCAACAGCCACTGCCACAGCCAGGCCCTGGGGATGGACAGCATGAGCTCACATTCTGCAGGGGGAGGCAGGTCACAGGCACACAGACCAACAGACGACACCACGGCCCCCATGGCCAGTGCACAGGAGCCAGAGGAGAAGAGCGTCCCGTGGTGCTGCTTTCAGCCGGCTGTCAGGAAAGGCCGCTGGGCAGCTCTTCTGACCCCCATTTCACTGCATTATAACTGCATTTGAATGCCATCAGCTTTACAACAAGGCAGACTTTAGGGGCAGGGAATAGCCAAGAGGCAACTCTACTCTTGAAATGATGGTGACAGTCCCACTGCTGCAAAATCACACCAGCACAGTCCAGGGAAGCATGTCTCGTGTGGTCCAAGAAGCCTAGCAATAGCAGGTGTCTCCAAGAGTTTGGCATAAGCACTCCAGAATTGGAGGGAAAACTCAAGTCCTTCCATTTCACTTGAGTCTTACAGCTTAGCGAGATTCCACTAAAATGAGCTCACTGGCATTTCTAAGAAAAGAGGCAACAACCTGAAAATAAATAACTATCCCCCCAAACAGAAGTATGAATTTCATTTAACTATGGTTAAAAATTATTAAATCCGGGGCTGGTCGGTTAGTTCAGGTGGTTAGAACTTGATGTTATAACACCAAGGTCAAGGGTTCAGATCCCGTACCAGCCAGTCATCACCCCAGTTAAATTAACTACAGCTATATCAAGAATCACCTGAAATGTATTCAAAAGCTATTGAATAATGGCTATTTGAAACACAGGAATAAGAGAAATGTGAGACACAGTCCCTGCCTTCAGCACCCCGCTTGGCGAGGCAGCAGATGGGTGGTTAGTCAGACAAACCCAGGTTCGAGTCCTGACTCCAGCACTCCGGGCCGGGGCCTCTGGCAGCCCCAGTCCTTCTCACGCAGCGTCCCCTCCTGCCACAGCCCCCACACCTGCGCCTCCTTCTTGCTTCACGGGGCCCCACAGAAACTCTCTGGACCCTTACATCAGCCTGGGCTTGTCTTCCAAAGTATGTATCTGATGAAATGGACTTGACATTGCCGAACTTCTTCTGGGCCTCATTTGTATTTTCAACTAGCTCGTAGTCCGGCTTGCAGCGAGCAGTAGGTCTACAGCTAGAAATAGCCAAAATAAGTTAACCTGATTTGACGTGAGGCACATGCATTTCTCATTTCTAATGCACACATGTTCCATTTTTATTTTTTAAAAAGCCAACAGCAGTAGTTTTGTAAAAGGAGGTCAGGCCACTTTAAAATGCCTAAAAATTCTAATAAAAAAATGATAAATATCCAAATCACACATTTGAAGGAATTCTTATTTTAAATGAGTCTGTTATTTCACATTTCAGTTCAAATGTGTTATTTCATCTTTCGGATCAATTAGTAAGTACTAAATACACTGTAAAGTATGTAGGACACTGCTCTACGCTATGTAGGATATAAATTGAGTAGGGTGGCTGTTCATCCCTATTGTCTGGGACAATCTCAGGTTACACTTGTTGTCCCAACATACTACTAGTGCCCCCATGCACTCTCAAAAGTTCCCTGGTTTGGACAATAAATTATACGGTCCTTCATTCATAATCACCAAAAACTGGAGACAGTCCTTCAACAGGTACATGGACACACAAACTCAGGAATAAAGATGAGTGAACACCACACCATGAATGGGTGTCAACAAAAGGCGCGAGAGAAGTTAAAGAATCCAGACGAGAAAGGCCAGTTACGGGATGATTCTACTGATATAACATTCTGGGAATGGAAAAATTATAAGGTCAGAAAACAGACCAGTGGACAAGCCAGCCACCAAAAAAAAAAAAAAAGGAAAAATCAGAAAACAGACTAGTGCAGCTGGGGGCTTGTGGGTGGGGAGGGCTGACCACAAAGGACATGGGGAATTTTGGGGGGTGAGGGAACTGCTCTGTATCTTGGTTTTGGTGATATTACATGACTGTATGTGCTTGTCAACACCTGCAGAACTGTAACTTCAAAAAGTGAATTTTAATGTAAATAATACCTTAAAATGGAGGAAAAAGTGAAACATTCCTGGACTAGGCCACCTCTGACCCATGGAACCAGAATCTCTTGGGAAGAGGTTTCCACATATTATGTTTTTTAGTAGGTCCGCAGGGGATTCTGAAGTGCACCTCCAACTTAGAATCACTTATTTAAAATAAAAAGAATATTCTTGAATAAGCAGAACAAAATCATTTACTTACAAAAGGTTTTCATGCCATCATGTTATCAGTAATTTCTCCCTAGAATTGCATGGATTCACTGTTACAACCCCCAGTTTTGCTGTTCATACCTGTCTGAATAGCCTGTGGTTTTCAGAACCGTCTCAGTATCTTTGCTGGTCTCTTTTTTCCAGTAGGAATCTGAACTGTCATCCCAGTTAGAGAAAGAACTTCTCCTTAACTCCAATGGCTCGTCAAAGTACCTGCATGATTAAGAGCAGAACAGTGACTTTGGAAGCCCTTGTTGATGCTCACTTATCGGGTTCTCTCACTTCTGGCACGCAGGGGACTGTACTTCTCTGCCCCCTTGAAGGGGCTGCCACATGACTAGATCCAGCCAATGAGACAGGAGCAGACACAAGATGTGTCATTTCCAAGGCCTTTCAATGTCCATGCTTAACCTGCAGTCCTCTCTTCCCTTGCTGCACAGAAGAGGTCTTGTTTTCCAGGTGCTGTAGTCTCAGGCAGATGAAACCTCTATCAGTCTGGACAATCAAGGTGCCACACAGAAGACAGATACTCTGGACAATCCCCTGCACCCTCAGCAGACTTTATGTGAACAGAAATAAACTATCATTGTGTCAAGCCCTTGAGATTTGGGGGGATGTTTATTACTGCAGCATAACTGAGCCTATCCAGACAACATGTGACATCTTTGAGCATTATCCACCAGAGGTTACATATTTCATTCTCTTCAGTCTAGTTCTGCCTGGGCAGGTAGTCACAAATAAAGCTGCTGGGCCTGGAGAACTGAGCCCACCCAAGGAGCTTCTTATTGGCAATCCCTTCCACATTATGCATGTTGACTATAAATGATGTTAATTAACCTCCTCCTGGAATTGGATACAAAGCTACAGATCATTGATCAATGAACCATTCTGCAGATGCTCTTTCAGTCTGGAGCTTGAAGTAAACTTGATCTGATTTGTAAGCACATCAGAGGAGATGCTGGCTTTCTGGGTCTGTTTACACCTTCTTTAGCTGAGCGTCACTGAGCAGGGCACTGCTCAGAGGGCAGCACTCAATGGCAGCTTTAGGTCCTTTGTCGATGGAGAAATATCTTTGACCAAGAGCAGCAAGGTTTGCCTGGAATAGGACAGAGACTGATAGTTGAGGTGGATGTGCCAGAACCTTAATAAAAAGTGACCACGCCTTGTTAGAATGGAAAAACAGCCCAGCCAGACACACACTCCTTATGAAGGAAGAGGTCAGGGCTTAAGTCTTAGGAAAGGAAGGGTAGTGGAGGAGAACCCAGGCTTCTCTGGAGAGTGAGGATGGGAAACACACTGAAAACTAGGCGAGCACAAGCTCGTGTTATAAGGAGTTGCACAAAACATGGAAACCCTAGGCGGTCAGAGGGGCAAGAAACCAAAGATGGATATAAGACGGCAGCCAGAACCAGTAAAAATAAATAGGCAGAAACCCTGATGAGCTAAGATCTGGGGGGGAAATGCTATAAGCAAATATACTCTTTTTCCTGGTAGGAAAAAAAGGGAAGTGGGCAGCGGGGAGGATAAATCTGCTGTCTGAAACAGATGGTGTGATTTCATACTGATAGTAGAGAGAAAGCAGAATTTATACATGTGGCTTCTACCTTCCCTGGCAAGAAGGTCGTTAAGAACAAATCTTGTTACACTAGCTCCTCCCCAGGAAGGAAAACACAGAGTTCAAAGCAGATCTGGACTTCAGCTGGAATCTGGCCAGGCTTTCCTGCCGCTGAGCAAGCGACACAGAGTTCAAAGCAGATCTGGACTTCAGCTGGAATCTGGCCAGGCTTTCCTGCCGCTGATGAGCAAGCAGCTCAGTACTGTACCCAGGCTCTGCTTGGAGGAGCAGGGACACTGATCCCTGCTCAGAGAAGTCACTAGGACAAGGAAGGGGCTGGAAGTCACCTCAAAGGAAGGTTCCAAGGTTGTGGATACATGCTGGCCTGGAAAGTCTTCCTCACATGGTTGAGGGACCTATCTGTAAGGCCTAAGGGAAAGAACTAAGACCAGTTCAATGAGGAATTTAAAAAACGTAATAGGCACCAATGAGGGCCAGGCAGGCTGCTAAGGGAAGATACAGAGCAAGGAGACACATCCAGTCCCTGCCTTCATGGGGCTTGTGAACTGGTTTACAGAAGGGAGGCTGCTTTGCACTTAGAAACCCAGGGAGCTGCAATAGCCTAAGGCAGCGTTTCTCACGGAGCTGCCTTGAGGAGAAGAGCAAGCCCAGAGGAGGCTGGATGGCCCCCCGGAGGGTGCAGAGGGGGTGCAAGCACTGGGCTGGGAGTGAGGCAGGTTGGAATTTCCAGGCTCTTAACAACTCTGAGATTCAGGCACTCAGAAAGGAAACAACATTCTTTATTCCTATAAGCCAAAGTGCTTCTGAAATGTAGGGGCATGGGATTATTTTTAAATGACAACTATTCAGAAATTAGAAGGAGAGAGACAGCCATCTGCTTGGACCCCACTGTGACCGCAGTGGTCCCTGAATGGGGTGGTGGGGCCTTTTCTTCCTACCAACACCCAGAGAGGCTCTCTATGCTCTTGCACAATGCAGGAGGCACCCAGCCACTCACTGGGGAACAGACAGATGCCCAGCCAGGCCTCCAGCTGCCTCTTGGAAGGACAGGGTGAATAGGACTGACCAGCAGCCAGAGAGCTGCAGAAACCCAGCAGCCTCTCCTGATCTCCAAATCTTTACTGACGTTCTCATGTTTTGATTTCTAGACCCTAGTTATCAATGCTTTTTTTACTTTTATCTTTGCTCTCCCACTGTCTTCACCTAACCCTGAAAACATTCCTTAAAACCCCTTGATAAGAGCACCCCAATATCACATTATATCTGATTTTCAGCTATAGACAGTTGTCTATTCCACTGAAGGGCACACTGACTTTATAAGGCTGAGCAAATTGTTCTGGTTTAATTATTCTGTACTCAATATATACTTACATTGTTTTTATCCTGGAAATAATGGAACAATAAGAAACAAAAAACAAGGATATGTTTGATCTTATTTTTAATAGAAACAGTACTCTTTCATAATTCATAATATTTGAGTTCTAATGGGCTAATGAATAATTTGGAAGCAATAAGAGCTCTTCATGGAACTAATAGACTTGCTTTCAGAGAGTCCATGTTTATCATACTTCAGTTGCCAAAGCACCTAACAGAACCCTTGTTCTACTAATGGTGGTCGCCCTACCACGCAGGACTAGAGGAGGCACTTACGTTCCTGTTAGACCACCTGCAGGTCATAATAAACGATGCACCAATGTCTCTCTGGAGGGAGTCCAGATGTGTGGTCTATATAAAAACACCATCTGCTCCCAGGCTTCAAACCATAAATAACCGTTCCATAGCAACAAAGGCCTTTAGGAGGGCTATCTCTTTCCACTAAGCCTCTGAAAAAGGAGAAGGCTAAAGGATTCTTGAAGCCCCTTATAGGGCTTTGAAGCTGCCTTGTGGGCAGATCAAGCCCCACAGAAGCCTGTCAGTGACCTGGAGGCGAGAATCTCTGTGGGTGACCTCATTTACCAACCTTGCTACCAAGCAACAGTACTGACCTAACTTGAAATTTAATTTTTTTCTTCTTTTTGAAATTTGTTTTATCTTCCTACTCACCAAGCAACAGTACTGACCTAACTTGAAATTTAATTTTTTTCTTCTTTTTGAAATTTGTTTTCTTTATCTTCCTACTCTATCATCTGTAGGAGTCACTAATGAGCAGTGAAATAAGCAAAAGGTGTCGTGGAAGCCACGTAGGTGAATGCAGCGTCTGCATCACCAAGAGTTTCCTACAACCCAGACTCAGTCCCTTGTTCACGCCCACATCCGAAAGGATTTGATATGAACGCAGTTCCCAAATCAAATTACGGATTTAATTTTATCCTATATAAAATGTACTTAAACACTTTTTGTTTCTTTTTGACCGGTAAGGGGATCGTAACCCTTGGCATGGTGTGGTCCGCAACACGCTCAGCCAGTGAGCGCACCGGCCATCCCTATATGGGAACTGAACCCACGGCCTTGGCGCTATTAGCACCGCACTCTCCTGAGTGAGCCACAGGCAGGCCCTACTTAAACACTTTTAAAAAGCATGATGGGAACTGAACCCACGGCCTTGGCGCTATTAGCACCGCACTCTCCTGAGTGAGCCACAGGCCGGCCCTACTTAAACACTTTTAAAAAGCATGATTTGGGTATGACATCTGAGTAAACTGAAACCTGGTATATTATACAGGTTACAGAATTTGAGCAACAATAAACCAATCCAAGTCTCTGAAAGTAGTGACATGGAATACTACTCAACTACTAGTTTTTTTTTTTTTGCAAAATACCTGCACTTGAAATAATCTGGAGCTATGCTTAGAGAAACATTATACAATTCCTTATCTACAAACTTGGATAGGAATATATATAATTTCACAATTAGATTCTAGTTAATAGTTAATATATATTTATCTCTAGTCTATATATGAAATATATATCTGTTGTACATATGAAAGCCTTTCAAGCCTGTAATAACTGCCAGGCAGCTCTTACACCCTCTGAGATGTAAGTGACAGAGCCTCTGGCTAAGCTCCACCCGCTACTAATAGGCACATGTTCAATTTTCACAAACTACTAACCTGAAAATGGCCCTCAATGTGGTTAATTTAACTACTTAACAATAGTAATTAAACATTTAGACTGAGCCACATGTCTCCTGAACTGAGTTTCTGTATTATTATAGCTGCTAAACATAATAATAACAAACAAACACTATTCCAAATGCTCTATTTGCAGTAACTCATTTAATCCTCACAAAACCCTGTAAGGTAGGTACTCTTAGGATCCCTAATTTACAGATATGGAAGCTGCAGCACAGAGAGCTCAAATAACTTTCCCAGGGTCACACAGACAGTATGTGGTGGGGTCAGGATTCAAATCCAGGCCATTTGGCTCCTGGGCCCATGTTCTCATCCCTCTGTCCTCAGCTGTGCCACCTCCAGTGAAGTCACAGTTTCCCTTGGTGCCTTTTTTTAGCAAGCAGGCCTCTCCCTGTGCTGGTCAGATTCTTGGGGGAACCTCACGAAGTGAGTCGATTCAAGTTTAAACGCGTTCTCCCTGCTTCTGCAGGCTGCTTGAACCTGAACCTCATTCTCCATGATCAGCTTCCCAGCAGAGTTATGCATCTTTGTCCCTGATCAGATGGTGAGTGCTGAAGGACAGGGGCCCAGGCTTTATCCTAGGGTCCCCTCAAAGTGCAATTTTATTTTTCAATAATAAACACACAAACACAAATAGAGTTTATTTCATATTCTATCCTGCCAGTTGAAGTTTCCTGAAGCTGATATTCTGAAACAAAAGAATCTGCTGAAGCCCTAAGGCACAGCTGTGAAATATCCAACTGCTGGACTTAATATATACCTTCAGGATTTTGCATATTTCTCCAATTTTACATTTTAGATTAATACTTCTCCCCTACCTCAAATTTGAACTCTCTTTTGTTTATTGTTTTTTTATTTTTATTTTTTATTTTTTGGTGGTGGGCTGGTAACCTGGTTTGAAACCTGGACCTTGGTGTTACCAACACCACACTCTAACCAACTGAGCTAACCAGCCAGCTCTCTAATTTGAGCTCTCAGTTGCTGATTTTATTATCAAACACTTTAATACTAGCAAACATTGTCCACTAACAAATGTTTTCCCAATTTTTATTCCAAAGGATATCCTTGGCTTCAGCCAAAGCTTTTAAAAACAACAAAATTACTTGATTTGTACTTTCTCCAAATGCAAATAATCTAATAAGTCCATACCAGTCACTGCTTTTCAAAATGACATTTTAATGGTGACTTTTAATGGATTACCTTGAGCTGGAAGTAAAATATGAATCATCATTGTCATCATTATACTTTTTTCTTGGTTTTGCCATGATGGGTGATTCCTGTTCTATGGTCTGCATATCTGAAGTCACTGAATGTGAAATACCACTTGAGAAAACAGAGAATAAAACAGGAAAAAATTATATCAGTTAGTTCAAAAAGACTTTTGTTTCACCAAAAAGTGAATGTTTTAACCAATACTCTAGAATAAAGACAAATTTATTAGAAGGGTTAATAAGTAATAAAACAATTTTTTTTAGTGTAAACTTTCAAAAATATTAAGTTTTTGTGAGGACTATAACCACAAAACACAGTCACATATATCAGTTATGTTTGGGGCATCCACTCTGGTGTGTGTTTAACAAGTCAGACCTATGGGTCCGGCCCGGTGGCGCACTGGATAGTGTGCCGCTTGGGAAGCGCGGCGGTGCTCCCGCCCGAGGGCTTGGATCCCACGTACAGACCGGTTCCCACTCACTGGCTGAGCGAGGCGCGGGAGCAACACCGAGGGTTGCGATCCCATTGCCGGTCCCCGGTCCGGTACGGGGGCAACACTGAGGGTTGCGATCCGTTGCCGGACACGGAAAAAGACAAAAGACAAAAAAAAAACAAAAAAACAAGTCAGACCTATTTCCTTTTTCTAAGAACCATGTTTGGAATTTTTTCATACTATATTAAGCACTAGAATAAAGCAAAAACAATTAAAGAAGGGAAGGAATACCAAGAAAATACCTCTGAAGTAGAAATTAACACGGTCCAAGGAAAATCCAGTCATGATTAGCAAAATGCTTTAAATTCTGAAAGCCAAGAAAGCAGAGTTTCACATACCTTCTGCAATTTCCAAACCCCATGCCAAGTCTCTCCGAGTCGACTTTTTTTTTGCCACTCATGTTCGTCTTTTCATCTTTCTTCATTTGAATTTCAAGATCCTTATAGGCTAATCGTAATGATGAAACACTGCCAGAAAAGCCAAATGCTCCTTAATTCAGCTTTAATCTTGTATTCTTATATTAAAATACTAAGCCAAATCAAACATGCAATTTATACTCTTAGCTTCATGCTCCTTTCCATAATTAACAATTATGAAGGCAAGATGGCATTTTTTCCTACTTGTCTTTTTCGAGCAGACACTCAAGAAAATTTGAGTAAGTTTACAGCCACTTTTTCGTTGCTGCTGAACCTACATTACTGTTCAAGTTCAGTTCATATTACCTGTTATTGTACGATAACATAATGCATGCCTAAATTACTTACACATAGGATAGAAGGAAGCAAGATTTCTTACTTGGATTACTATTTTACTACACTTCCACATTACATATCAAAGCACAAGGGTAGTCTCACTGGTCTGCTCTAAGATAAAAATATACATAAATTTGATTTTACAAATAGATAAATTAAGGAGGAGTTACTTAATTATAAAAGGATCCTACAGTTTACAAAATAATTTCCCATAGGGTCTCTCTATGTAATCAGTCTTCTGAGAGCACTGTGAAATGGGACAGTCCTTCAGCAGCAAATAGTTTCTCCAGCACTACCAGTCATACACTGATCTTCTACCAAATACTGCTATAAATAATACACCAAAGGGGTAAAAAGATGTATAAAACATTGTCCTTACACTCAGATTTCTAAAAATGCAATAAACACCTAATATTTCATAAAGAAAACTATGCCTATATTAGTAATAACAGCAGTACTATATTAATAAGACAGCAACAAAATTTCAGGGCCCTGAAAAGTGATGTACCTACATTATAAGGATTTCTAAGTTGTCCATTTTATAAAACATGTAGAATGTCATGAATTCCTCATAAAACAGGCACTGCATAAATTCCATAGTAATACAAATAAATTTCTGTGTAGTATCAGGGAATGGCAACAGGATTTCTTGCTAGGAAAAAATAATCTTGTTTTTGCTGTTTCCTTCCTTTAATGAGTCAAGCAGGATTTCTTTGTTTTAATCTGGTAGTTTGTTTCCTTTACTATTATACCTACAGAACAGGTTACGGGTATTTTATTCCTTAGCAAATAAATAATATTCTTTCAAGTATAACTTTTGGAGGAAAACAATAGATCTGTTTCAAATCATGAATAGATATAACTATAGCAACAGATTCTTCTGGAAAAGATGAATGGGTGGGAATGAAAAAGTTCTTTCTCTTTCTCTGAGAAAGAGATTACATAGGAAAATTTCCTTCTTAGGACATCTGAAATGGGAGTGGGTCTGTCCCTCAAGCATGCACATCTGACATGGGACTGGGTCTGTCCCTCAAGCATGCACATCTGACATGGGACTGGGTCTGTCCCTCAAGCATGCACATCTGACATGGGACTGGGTCTGTCCCTCAAGCATGCACATCTGACATGGGACTGGGTCTGTCCCTCAAGCATGCACATCTGACATGGGACTGGGTCTGTCCCTCAAGCATGCACATCTGACATGGGACTGGGTCTGTCCCTCAAGCATGCACATCTGACATGGGACTGGGTCTGTCCCTCAAGCATGAACATCTGACATGGGAATGGGTCTGTCCCTCAAGCATGCACATCTGACATGGGACTGGGTCTGTCCCTCAAGCATGCACATCTGACATGGGACTGGGTCTGTCCCTCAAGCATGCACATCTGACATGGGACTGGGTCTGTCCCTCAAGCATGCACATCTGACATGGGACTGGGTCTGTCCCTCAAGCATGCACATCTGACATGGGACTGGGTCTGTCCCTCAAGCATGCACATCTGACATGGGACTGGGTCTGTCCCTCAAGCATGCACATCTGACATGGGACTGGGTCTGTCCCTCAAGCATGCACATCTGACATGGGACTGGGTCTGTCCCTCAAGCATGCACATCTGACATGGGAGTGGGTCTATCCCTCAAGCATGCACATCAGACACGGGACTGGGTCTATCCCTCAAGCATGCGCATCTGACATGGGAGTGGGTCTATCCCTCAAGCATGCACATCTGACACGGGACTGGGTCTAAACCTTAAGTATGCAAATCTAACATGGGACTGAGTCTATCCCTCAAGCATGCACATCTGACATGGGACTGGGTCTGTCCCTCAAGCATACACTTTAGCATCCTGGCTTACTGGAACACTGCTTTGGAAGCACTAACAGAGTTAAGGAGTCAGAACACTGTGTTTCTCAGACATGCAGGAGCCCTTCCTGGCACTGGCTCAAGGCAAGGCTACAGGACACTCAGATCAAACAAGCACAGCAGCTTGGACAGCTCTGTCTCTTCCTACCCTTCCCCCCAAGTGTGCACACAGACAGCCTCTGAGGATGGGCTGAGAACCTTCCAGAAGGCCAGGATCAGGGCACTGCTTGGGCCATTCAGTTTCATAGTCTGATGGTAGAAGAACCAATGCTGTTCCTGGAGGTCTATTGAACTGTGATAACTTTATTCACAGCCATTAAGAAAATTAACTTGCAGAATAAAATTCTCACATCTTAAGGATGAAACGTGTGCACTTTCTCCTAGCTGGTACTGCACCGGCTTGTGGAACTGACCTTCAATGGAATAAGCAGCAGTGATGGTGATTAAGGCATAGTGGTGCGTCTGTTCTGAACAAGGCCAAGAAAATTGCCAAATTGGGTTCCCAAATCAAATTCATAAAATTCCCCTGATATGTATCTTTGCTTTTATGATGTATTAAACAGTCCTAATGAAAGATACAAGCGAAGGCTAGTTGTTGCTTCTAATATAAATATGCTAATCTCCGTATATGTTTTTTTCCCCTTAAGCCTTCCTCAGCAGTCTCCCATCCAATTACGAACCAGGCCCGACCCTGCTTAGCTTGAGATCAGATGAGAGCGGGAACAATCGGGCTGGTATGGTGGCAGACTCCATGTGTTTTTATGCTTCTCCACCTACCTTACCTGAAGGAAGGGAGCTGAGGCTTTCTATAGTCTATCTCTTTTCTCTTTTGTCTGATCAGGCATCGGATTTTACACACTCCCTGGAAAAACTTCAAGCATAAGCAATCTGGACAGAGCCCACTCCCAAATGCCAAGTGAAGCCATCTAAACACTCAAATATAATCTTTCCCTTTGCCCAGGGTCAAAAACCCAGCTTAGTAACAGCACTTAAAGTCTGGGACAACTCAGTGAAAATTCTGCATAAAGAATTTCAGACCATTTTCAACCTAAATACAGTTTGGTGCTGCCCCCTATGTTTGGTGAGTTAAATGACAGGAGAGATAACTACATTTCAAATTACCTGGCTTTACCTAATTCCACTCAGCAAACTGTCAGTGTGAATAGTGAGAAATGACATGGACTGAGCCAGGCACTGTTTGATGCACTTTAATGAGCATTAACTAAGTTAATAATTAAAACAACCTCATAAAATAGGTGTTATTTTCTTCACTAGATAGTTTACAGTAACACAAGCTAAAACAGATAAAATACACATGAAAATAAGACAGAACACCATAAAAAGTAAACAAACATATGCCAATAGTAGGCCCCCGCTGCTCCTCCTTTCTATGACACCCACCCACCCCTTCCCTTCCTCCTCTCCTTCTGGTCCTTTAAACTCAGTCACATGCAGCCCAGGTGGCCACATTTCTCTTCTTTTTTCAACACAAACGAAAACCTCTAAGAGCCTTAAATGTCTACTAAAAACCGGGTTCTGAACCGGCCTCCTGCCTTCCAGTTTCCTCCCCATCTCTTCTCTTCTTTTTTCAACACAAACGAAAACCTCTAAGAGCCTTAAATGTCTACTAAAAACCGGGCTCTGAACCGGCCTCCTGCCTTCCAGTTTCCTCCCCATCTCTCTGTCCTGGCTATCACTTCCAAACTCACTTTCCAAAGACAACGGCTCTCTGCCCCTCAGGTAAAATGTACAGCTCCTAGCCTGAGTCTGAGGTGCCTCATGGTAGCATCCAGCTTCTCCAATCCAGGCAGGTCCCCCAGTGCAGACATCATCATCCCTCCTCTCCGTTCTCTTAAACTCTTCCTTCTCCCTCTCCTTCAAGATTCAGGCCCCAAAACTCTGGCAATGCCTCCCTAGCCACAGCCTTCCATCATATATCTAGAATTCTGTCACTGAGTCCTATAGGGCATCACATTATACTTATTTCATTACTGACATATAATTCACACACCATAAAATACACCCTTTTCAAGTACACAATTCAGTGGTTTTTTGTATATTCACAAGGTTATGCCACCATCACCACTATCAAATTCCAGAACATTTTTAGTGGCCCCAAATGAAACCCCACAACCATTAGAGGTCATTCCCCATTCTCGCCTCCCCCAGCCCCTGACAACCACTAATCTACTTTCTGTCTCTATGAATCTGCTTATCCTGGACACTTCACATAAACAAAATCATATAATATGTGGTCTTTTGTGACTGGCTTTTTTTTTTGGTGGCTGGCTGGTAAGGGGATCTGAACACTTGACCTGGAGTTCTAACACTGTGCTCTAACCACCTGAGCTAACCAGCCAGCCCTTAACATAAACTGTTCAAGGCTTATCCATGTTGTAGCACATACCAGAACTTTTTTTCTTTTCATAGTGAACAACACTCCATCGTACGGATGGACATAGCACATTCTGTTCACTGTTCGTCAGCTGATGGACACTGGGTTGTTTCTAATTGTGGGCTATTAGGATCAATGTGGCCATGAACACTCCTGCATTAGCTTCTGTGTGGATCTATGGATGTATGTCTTAATTTCTCTTGAGTAAACATACTTGAGAGCAGACCTGCTAGGTCACGTGGTAACTTTATGTTTAGCTTTTGAAGGACTGCTAAACTGTTTTCCACAACCGCCTGCGGGCCCATTTTACATTGCCACCAGCAACGTACCAGGCTTCCAGTTTCTCCACCTCCGGGACAATACGTGTTCCTGTCTTGTCTTTTCTGTCCCAGCTGCCCTCGTGGGTGTGAAGTGGCCATCTCACTGTGGCTGTGATTCGCATTTCCCTAACACTGATGGTGTTGAGCACCTTTCCCGTGTAAATACCTCTAGATACATCTCCATCCTTTCTTTCCCACTTGACAACTCCAACAAGAACTTGCTGCTGTCCCTCGCCACCAGTCTCCTTCCTGTCCTTCCAATCTACGTGTCAATGCAGTGTCGGTTTTCATGAAACTGAATTCTGCCTTACCCTCTCTACAGACAAATTAATGGCATGTGGAAAGCAAATGTTGCAGTTGTTTAAGTAATATTTTTATTCTCTAAAAACATACTAGTGTAACGAAATCAAACTTACATGGATTCTTCCTGCGGCGCCGCCCTGGCCCGAAGGTCGTCTTGCTCCTTCATCTTATCTACAGCTTGAGCTCGCTTTTCAATTTCATTGAAATACGTATTGGCCAGTTTCTGGGCGCCCAAACTTCCTTTCTTGGCCCCAAGCTAGAAGATACATAAGATTATACTCTACCCAAGCTGTCTGAAAACCTCTGTAACTGCAGCTAACATTTACAGAGGTTCATCGTTCGCGAGCACAGTGACAAGCACTTTTCGCGCGTTCTCTTGCTCGGTCCTCACAGCTCTGTGCAGTTATTACCATCCCCACTTTACAAATGAAGAAACTGAAGCTCATGCAATAAGCAACCTGGCCATGATCACTCAGCCAGGAAGTGGCAAAGCCACGATCCAACCCTGAGCCAGATGAAACACATCACCACATCCGAAACTCGGACCCGACACCTGCCCTCTGCCTTACAAGATGGCAATGCTCACAGAAATGCAAGCAGGACAGAAACTCCCAAGGAGTCTTTGTTAAATTTTTTCAGAATTTTGTCATAGACAAAAGAAATGTTAAAACACTCATCCTAGAAAATATTCACTAAGTATAACATTCATCTTATTGAATAAAACATAGGCTCTTTATAAAAGCCGCATTTATTATAATATGGTTCAAATTAAAAAATAAATAAAACTAAAGTGGCCTTTTAGTTTGAGAGCCAAACTACCATACTACTATACCATACTACCATACTACTATACC